ATAGGCTGTTGAAGTTTTCTCATGAAGTTTCCATTCTTGATATAATACTCCCCAATTCCACAATGTCTATTTAGCTCTTTCAAAGCATTTTTATATTCTTTATTGAGAGTCTGTATTTCTTGACTCATTGTTTCCATTCACTGTTGTCATATTTTACTTAATTCCCTAAATATATTTACATTAATTGTTTTAAAGTTTTTCTCTGGTAAATCCAGTATCTAGGGACACTGAGAGCCAGTTTCCATAGATTTTTTTCCCCGAGTATTACTCACACATCCCTATTTCTTTGCCTTTCTTGTAATATTTTGTTCAAAAGTAGACATTTTAGATAATATATTGTACCAACTCTAAATTCTGAGACCTTTTTCCCCCTTAAAAATCGGTGTTGTTGCCTTCCTGCCTGTTTCCTTTTGTTTAGCAGCATGCCTGGGTGAAACTAAGAAATTTGTTTCCTCCTTGGTGTGCAGCCACTAATATCTCCACTGTGTTTCTTCTCTTATTTTTGCAGTTTTTGCCCAGGGCTGGGCTTGAACCCACCACCTCCAGCATATGGGGCTGGTGCCCTACTCCTTTCAGCCACAGGCGCCACCCCAGTTTCTTATTTTTTAATGTTCTTTTTAAGACTGACTTCCTAGGAACTGCCAAACCACTGGCTCTTTGCTTGCGTGCCTGCATCTTCCACAGACACTGATGATGGACACTGATGTCACCACCCTCTATTCCAAATAGAGGAGCCCATTCTCTCAGCACAGATGAAGTTGCCAGTCCTTGCAGACTGCTCTGCCCTGACAAAAACTCCACACAACATAGTTTCACAAGTATAGAAAGCAGCCCCTACTAAACATCACAGCTTTCTACTGTTCTTACCTGAAGTCTGGCAATTTTTCAATGCACAAGTGTGTCTCAAATTATTGTATACCTTTGATTGATTTCCAGAACACTGAAACGACTTTCTCAATTCTGTCTAGTTGTTTTTTCAGAATAAGATTTGCTGATCTCCTCAGGTAGTCATACCCAGAAGTATTATCCCTCTCACCCCATTATTTTTAATTCTACCTTATAAATATTTTACAAAGTTATGATTTTCATTTTGAAATATTTCAAATGACCAAGAATTAAAGAGAATATAATAAACACCCATGTACTCAACACGAGCTTAAGAAATGCAACCTTACAGGTGTGTTCAAAGCTCTTCATTTAATTTTCCTTGATCTTAATCCCTTTCTTCTCTGGCTAAGAATCCACTTGTTAGTTATTCATCTTATATATGTTTTTATTATTTTATATCTATATATATATTCTTAAATTACTGTTTTGCATTTTAATCTTATTCAAATGATCTGACTGTAAATATTCTTCTATAAGTTACTGTATTTGGGGGATTTATTCATGTAAATACATGGAGCTTTAATTCATTCATAGTTAACTGCTACAGAAATATGCCATAATTAATCCATTCTCCTCTGACAGACACATAAGTGCAAGAATAACGAGGGTGCTGAAAAGCACAGGGAAGAGGGTGGTGAGTGTGGCTCAGTGAGTAGGGCACCGGCTCCATATACCAAGGGTGGCAGGATCGAACCAAGCCCCAGCCAAACTGCAACAAAAAAATAGCCAGGTGTTGTGGTGAGCACCTGTAGTCCCAGCTACTCGGGAGGCTGAGGCAAGAGAATTGCCTAAGCCCAAGAGCTGGAGGTTGCTGTGAGCTGTGATGCCATGCACTCTACCAAGGGCTACAAAGTTGAGACTCTGTCTCAAAAAAAAAAAAAAAAAAGAAGAAGGAAAGAAAAGAAAAAAAGAAAAGCACAGGGAGAGGCTATAAATGTTTGTGTCAGTACATGAAATCTCCCCCTCAGCTCCTACATGGCTGGAGGTAGAATCCTTCACATGGAGGATTCATGGCCTTTTACAGAATCTAGATTGAGAGTTACAAGAGTCCTGAGAGAGCATTTTCTCCAACTCCAATGCAGGTGCCAACTTGGCCTAATTCACAGAACAACATAGGTGGGAAACCTGGGATTAACGCTAGGCTTTCTACCATCTTTAAGTCCTTATTTCTCAAAGCAAGATCTATGGATCAGCTATATTAGCATCACCTGGAAACTTATTAAAAACACAGACTCCTGAGCCATGTTCCAGTGCTTCTGAATAAGATTCTGCATTTTAACAAGATTCCTTGGTAGTCTGCATGTACATTAAAATTTCAAAAGTACTTGTAGAGTATATATCTAGGTGTCAAATTCCTGGATCTCAGTGTTATGAATTCTCCTTAACTATACTGAAGAGTGCCAAATTTCTCTCCAAAGTCTTGTACTAATTTACTGTCCCACATTATTCTAATTTTCCACCTACCTAATCACTACACAGAGCCATTTCCTATTGCTCTTGTGCATACCTCCAACTGTTTGCCTTACAAAACTTACATTTGAGGCTCGGCGCCTGTGGCTCAAGCAGCTAAGGCGTCAGCCACATACACCTAAGGTGGAGGATTCGAATCCCCAGCCCGGGCCCGCCAAGCAACAATGATGACTGCAACCAAAAAATGGCCAGGTGTTGTGGCGGGCGCCTGTAGTCCCAGCTACTTGGGAGACTGAGGCAGGAGACTCGCTTGAGCCCAGGAGTTGGAGGTGCTGTGAGTGTGATGCCATGGCACTCTACCCAGGGAGACAGCTTGAGGCTCTGTCTAAAAAAAAAAAAAAAAAAAAAAACTTACATTTGAGAGTATGTCCTCAAACTATACACCTAAATTCTGCATTTGTGCTGTTACACTAGTCTGTGAGAGTTACATGGTCAAATAAGTTTGGGACATTAATCAAATAAATCAAGTTCTTTAAGATTTCTCAGACCTCCAACATGCTGATGAGCACCAGGAGCCTCCAAAAGTGGAAGACATTTTAAGAATTTTCTAAAACTTATTTTACAATTTGCCTTTTTTGTTCCATGGGTCATCTATGAACACATTTAGATAAGCTAATGTTTCAAGGAACATATAGGGGAAATACTGCACTAGTTTATAGGAACTTCCTACCATTTTAAAATAAAAATCATGAAAAAAAATTTTTTTTTCAATTCAAGATTTCAATTCCCTCATATAATTCCCAGATTATCTCATGCTCTTATTAAAAGACTTTTGCTCTAGCTATTTATCTGTGGTTTTGTGTATATAAAATAACATCATTGGGAAAGAGAAATACTTTTGCTTGACTGAATTTCTCCTTGTCCATTTTCCTTCATGTTTTCAATAAGTAATAATAATAATAAAGCATGGAATAAAGATAAGCTATCTTAGTTTTTCAAAATTTCAAACAGTTTTTCTTTCCTGTAAGACAATTGAGAAAAACAAACTAACACCTGCTGAGACCAAGCATAAAAACTAGCATCTTGAGTCAAGTGTTCCCATAGGGATGTCCAGCAAAGGTCAATTGCCCTATAGGTTCCTTTTGGTTTCCCTGAATAAAAGTTACAGGACTCAAGTGATCTCTGGATCATGAAAAATCACATATTCTTTCAATTTTATACTTTTCCTTAGTTTCAGTTTTCCTACAATGAGCATATGTGATTTTGGAAAAATCTGGAAAAAATCTGGAAAAACTGGAAAAAATAAATTTTAGCTCTAAAAACTAAGCACTTGGTTTAAAAGGAAGAAAAAAGTCCCAAAGAAATAAAATTCAAATCAATCTATACTATTCTATCAAGATACATACAAAATTATAGCCTCCCCTTGGCTTGGCACCTGTAGCTCAAGTGGCTAAGGTGCCAGCCACATACAGCAGAACTGGCAGGTTCGAATCTAGTCCAGGCCTGCCAAAAAACAACAATGACAACTACAACCAAAAAACAGCTGGGCACTGTGGTGGGCGCCTGTAGTCCCAGCTACTTGGGAGGCTGAGGCAAGAGAATTGCTTAAGCTCAGAAAACTGTCTATAACTAGATTATGTAAAAATTACCTGATGAAAAGTTAATTCTTTAAATAAGTCATTAAATTCTAAAATCATTATGAATGCAATTCTAAACTTAATCTAGGTTCTCAATTAAGGGGATGGAGTGTTGAAACTGAAAGAACACCAGCAAATCAGGGTCTGAATCCTACTCAGATGGCCCTTACCTGCCTCAGTCTCTTTCCTGGTCTATGAGATGAGAGAAGACCCACGTCATGCATGGTTACTGAGAAACATATTAAAATATAGCATAGCACCTGGTATATATATAGTAAGTGCTCAATAAATTGTGACTATTGCTATTAAAGCAATCACATTAGAAATATCCTAAATGCTTCCGCAAGAAATGAAAAAGTATTGTTACTACTGTGATAATGCTAATTACTAACATTTATCCTGATGCGATAAAAAACATCCTTCTAGTTAGGTAATCCTTGAGAATCCATGCCATAACTTGGGCAAATGATTCCAAATCAAATACATCAGGTTAAAGTTATCAGGTAAAATGTAGAAATGTAAAACAAGTAAGGATTCAATCACAGCCAGTTTTTTAGTAAGAGCAAGTTTTATAGACTACTACATAGTGTAATCATCATTAGGAAAAAGAAGGAATTCAACGGAGAAGGAAAGACAGGCAACTCAACAAACAAATGCCAAAAGTAAATATAATCACATAATTAAGTTGAAAATTATACATATAGCTTCAGCACCAGTAGAATGTCTCCCTATAAAGCAATAATTTTTTTTTTTTTAGACAGAGCCTCAAGCTATCCCCCTGGGTAGAGTGCTGTGGCATCACAGCTCACAGCAACCTCCAACTCCTGGGCTTAAGCGAGTCTCCTGCCTTAGCCTCCCAAGTAGCTGGGACTATAGGCGCCTGCCACAGTGCCTGGCTATTTTTTGGTTGCAGCCGTCATTGTTGTTTTGGTGGGCTGGGCTGGATTCGAACCTGCCACCTTAGGTGTATGTGGCTGGTGCCTTACACTTAAGCCACAGGCGCCGAGCCTAAAGCAATAATTTATGAGAGAAAAAATAAAATCTACAATCCCCTTTTTTGTTTACCTGGATGAGTCATGGTGACTGGTTCCTCTTTGGATTTATTATTGTAGATAACTACAGCCACTGCATTGTGGAAAGCAGCCCGTGATATTTTCTCTTTAAATGTGCAGTTTCCCCTCTGCAGCAAGGCAATCCACTGTTTGATATTAGGAGGGACTAAGAACCGTGTTTGAGGATCACAGCCCAGATGATCAGCAACTAAATAAAAAAGAAAAAAAGTATACATATTAAAGATAAAATAAAAGCAACAAGTCTTTATCAAAGTGCTTGACTGTTCTGTGAATGCCATATATAGCCAAAATGCTGTAAAGCAACTCACTTCCAAAAGAGCTTTGAGATATCTACAAATGACAATACAATGAATCTGAATCAATATCTGTATAGGGAGAGAGATGCTCTATTAAAATGTCACCTGTAAGGTGAAATAAAACAAGGAAAATTTCTTTTTAACTTTACAGATCACTTGCACTTATTAGTCTATCTAATCATATCCCCCCACCACCACTATCATCATGGTGAGAAAACAGGAGATTTATTTTGCTTAGGGTTAATGACGAAGTCAAAGTAACCCTTGGTTCAGTTACCAAGTGATCCTGCTAAAATTCAAGCACATTTGAACAAATTCCTAAGGTAATCTTAAAAGTTCAGTGTTGGCCTACATTTGAAAGTTGAAGTAATTAAAATAACATCACACAGTAGAATAAACATATGATTCCTCTAATTTATTTTTACTAGTAAAAATTATTCCAAAACATATTAAGATGCATTTTTTTTTTTAGACAGAGCCTCAAGCTATCCCCCTGGGTAGAGTGCCATGGCATCACAGCTCACAGCAATCTCCAACTCCTGGGCTCAAGCGAGTCTCCTGCCTCAGCCTCCCAAGTAGCTGGGACCACAGGTGCCTGCCACAACGCCCGGCAATTTTTTGGTTGCAGCCATCATTGTTGTTTGGTGGGCCCAGGCTGGGGATTCGAACCCGTCACCTTAGGTGTATGTGGCTGGTGCCTTAGCTGCTTGAGCCACAGGTGCCGAGTCAGATGCATTTACTATTAAAAAAATTTGAGAAGACAGCACAACCATCCCTTAGGACTACAAATTATATGTCCACTATTCTAGATTTCTGGGGATACTTTCTTTCAAATACCTATAAAGTATACCTGAATCTGTCAGACCAAGTTCCTCACTTCTGATTCTGCACATACAGCCATCACAGCTCTGGCACCCTCTTAAAAATCTTAAAAAGCAGCTCCCACTCCATACCCTTGCATGCGTAACAGGTCTATGAATGGTTAAAAACGAAAGAGAAGGACAGTCCAGAAGTGGAGTGAAGTCATCAAAGGTTAAGTCTGAGAATACTGGCATGTAGGAACAGAGGATGGTACCCCTATGCCTACTGGAGCCAGCCACTGCCAGTTCGGAAGTAAACAAATAAGGAAAAATATCGAATATTAATTAATAATGAAGTCTGATTGTAGTATATAAAGAGTGTGGAAAGGTTTGTTTTCCATACACCCAGAAGCACACTGCTTAGCAAAAGAAATGAAAATACTTAACACCACTTAAACTGTCCAATGTAAAGATGACACTAACTTCAGAGAAATATTGCATCTATCATTTCCACTTATCTTTCTGCAAATTTTTTATCATTATCATAGCAAGGGATCACAATGAGAGCGTATTTGCTACCAGTGGTCTCCTAACACATGAAGTGGAAGATGAATGTTTTCACAATTTGTCATGATTGAATTGATTACAACTATTAGCTACCCTATTCCTTAAATAATAAAGTGCACTCTGAAACTAAATTAAACAGGAGGATAAAAACCTATGTCATGATCAGTTCAGCATCTGTGGCTCAGTGTTAGGGCGCCGGCCACATACACTGGGGTTGGCAGGTTTGAATCCGCCTGGGTCTGCTAAAACAACAATGACAACTACAAAAAAAAAAAAAAATAGCCAGGCATTGTGGTGGGAGCCTGTAGTTTCAGCTACTTGGGAAGCTGAGGCAAGAGAATGGCTTAAGCCCAAGAGTTTGAAGTTGCTGTGAGCTGTGACACCACAGCACTATACTGAGGGTGACAGAGTGAGACTCTGTCTCAAAACAAAACAAAAAACCTATGTCATTAATTTAGTAATCAACTATTGAAAAAATACAGTCAACACATCATGAAACTTTAAAATCCTGAAACAGACTGTACTTTCAGTGATATCTGTTTCACAGATGATTATACTGTTTTAAAATACAAGGTGTTAGGCCGGGCGTGGTGGCTCACACCTGTAATCCTAGCACCGTGGGAGGCTGAGGCAGGTGGATAGCTTGAGCTCACGAGTTCGAGACCACCCTGAGAAAAGCAAGACCCCATCTCTACTAAAAATACAATAACTGAGGCAAGAGGATCGCTTGAGCCCACGAGTTGGAGGTTACTGTGAGCTGTAACGCCACGGCACTCTATGCAGGGCAACATCTTGAGACATGCGACATGTCATACTAATCTCATTTCTTAGTAAAACCGCCAATACCATCCAACTAGCAAGCACATAACTGGTTTTAAGTGTTTCATTTGGTACTTTTCAGAACACGCTGCTATACAAACCCTGGAAGAAAGTGCAAAATCAGAGTATCTAAAGAGATCTACACACTTGTCTTCATGAAACATTCATTCATTTTTCCTCACATGCCTTTACAGTGTAGTCAAGAGGAAATAGCACAGTTAAGAGAATCAGCAAGACTTGGGGGCTCAACTCTAGTCCAATTACTTACCAGCTGAGCAACTGTCACAGGTTACCTAAATTTTCTGATCTTTAACTTTTACTTAAGATTGAGATATGCTTATCTCACAGAGTCATGTAAGTAAAAAAGCCTATTAATAATTCCTTTATTCCTGAGTGCTTTAAAAAAAAACCCCTTCCCCTTTTAGCCATGTTCATCTTATGTTGTCCTAGTGATCTGATTTAGTGCCTATGGGATTTTCTGAGACGAAATATGTGAACTTCACCCAGGCTCAGCAGCATGCTCCCAGCCCCCTATCCTCCACTCTTAATGGCAACCTCCTGAGGTGAGAGTCAGTCCACTTAGAAGAACAGCAGTTCAATAACATCCACAATGTTCTAGGAATAAGAAAGTACAACAAGGGGTGCAACCACAGAGCAAAATTTATCAAACATATTAAAAAAGGACTTAAAAATTCTCTTAAAGAAATTCCCAACCATTAAAAACAGATTCTATGAACAACTACATGATCAAAACAAAATCCAACAAAGTGGGTGGCGCCTGTGGCTCAGTGAATAGGGCACCGGCCCCATATATGGAGGGTGGTGGGTTGGAACCCGGCCCTGGCCAAACTGCAACAAAAAACCCGGCCAGGCGTTGGTCAGGTGCCTGTACTCCCAGCTTCTCGGGAGGCTGAGGCAAGAGATTCACCTAAGCTCAGGAGTTAGAGGTTGCTATGAGCTGTGATGCCATTCTACCAAAGGCAATAAAGTGAGACTCTGTCTCAAAAAACAAAAACAAAAAAACCAACCCCCCCAAAAAACTGAAACAACAAAATCCAATAGATCATATGAGCAGAAGAACTGACCAGTTCCCCAAATGTATTCAAATCATCATCCATAAAAGGTCTCCAATTTTATACCAGTAAGAATATAATATGGAATTAGCCATCATAAGATAGGCAAGTTTCTGTTCAAGGAAATAGTATTCATTTTTCAGAAGAAGAAAATAAGAAGTTTTTTTTTTTAAGACAGAGCCTCAAGCTGTCACCCTGGGTAGAGTTCCATAGCATCCCAGCTCACAGCAACCTCCAACTCTTGGGCTTAAGCGATTCTCTTGCCTCAGCTGCCCAACTAGCTGGGACCACAGGAACCTGCCATACTGCCCAGCTATTTTTTGGTTGCAGCTGTCATTGTTTGGCAGGCCCAGGCTGGATTCGAACCCACCAGCTCTGGTGTAAGTGGCTGGCACCTTAGCCACTTGAGCCACAGGCGCCGAGCCATAAGAGGTTTTTATAATTGAGAACTTTATACTGTAGTATACTCATTTTATCTAGTTACTCCTTCCTGTAATTAAACATCACTATGAAAATAATGTGAACAACTCTAAAACAACTTTCCAAGAAGACTGATGACTATGATTAAGTGGCACTACTTTAAAAAATTTTATTCAGTAGCTGTTGTTTATACTTGAAGCAATTTATTAAGTTAAGAAATATTATGGTATAAAGACCTACGTAATTATGAACCATTAAAATTTATCAATAGTAATTTTGTTCAAATTCAGAATAATTTTTCTTATGTGCCAAATTTTATAAGAGGATATTACTTTGAATTCTTTGCATTTATTAGATATAGAGTTAGAAAAAAATCTTATTAGCAGTTTATGATACAAATTAAAATTATAGATAATATAATATATTGTATGACAGAAAAAGTTAAGTTTCCTTTTCCCTAAATGGCCGTTCCTGCCAAGTTCAAACTTAGTAATGAGAGTTTTACTTACCTCTTGACAGAAACCAAACAATTATGAGCTCCTTAACCTAATGAATATTAACTTATACAACAGGAAAAGCACCAAAGGAACAACGAAAAATACACTTTGCTTTGAGACTGGCACAGAAATTAAGTATCAACAAGATGGTAGAATGCCAACATGAAGAGCACTTAAAAACTTCTGAGTTTTGGCTCAGTACCTGTAGCTCGTGGTTAGGGAGCTGGCTACCACCTGGGCTGGTGGGTTTCAAACCTGGCCTGGACCTGCTAAATAACAATGACAACTACAACAACAACAACAACATCAAAAAAAAAAAAAAAGCCAGGTAGCCAGGTGTTGTGGAAGGCACCTATAGTCCCAGCTACTTGGGAGGCTGAAGCAAGAGAACAGCTTAAGACCAAGAGTTTGAGGTTGCTGTAAGCTGTGATGCCATAGCACTCTACCGAGGGCAATGTAGTAAGACTCTATCTCTAAAAAAACAAAAACAAAAACAAAAAAAACCATCAACAAAAAACTTCTGGGTTTTAAATCCTAAAATGTGAACTACCCAAGAAATTTACCTTGCTATTTATTAAGCCCAAGATTTCCTATGTCCAAATTCTAGACATTAGGAAATTATGATCAGCCCATTTGAGGTCAAGTGTTTAATTATGCATGTAGGGACACTGGTCAACATGAAAATTCCCATTAGATCCACATAAATAGAAAGGGG